TCCATTCTTCTCACTCTATTCTTCACCTTAGTGCCGTCTTTATATGAATAAGCTTTTATTATAAAAATTAAATACATTAAAACACATAAAAGATAGTTATTAAATTTATTTTATTTACTTTTATATTTAAAAATAAATACTAAGTTAAAAATTAGGTTATAATAAAATGACCAAATTGAACTCTAGATCTCAAAAAATGATTATGAATGAAAATAAAATGGTATTTTTGTTATTAAACAAAAGAATTAAAAAAATATAAATTTATTATTAAGTCATTGATATATGTTTAACTAGAATTAAAAATAATCCTTGTCACAAAAAATGAGATCTATTTTTATCAAATTATTAAAATATTACGAGTTTGAAATGAATTTCATAAAAATATAATGTGATATAATATCATTTATTAAATTTGAATTGATTTATTTCAATTAAAAATATATGAATTAAATTTTTTTAAAAATAAAAAAATTAATTTTAAATAACTTTAAAAATACATAACTTAATATATATATACATATATATATATATACACATTCGGTCATTTGATATTAATTAGTTTTGATTGTACCGACGATGACAAATATCACCTCATTCGGATAGTAAAATTACACGGTTTCTTAGGAATTCTAAGAAGACAAGGAACTATTTATAAGGAAAAAAAGTATGGGCTTGGCAATTGACCCTACGGTCTGAGCGAATGGACATGAACCTTTTACTAAATTACATGGTTGAGATTGTCTGGACTGCAATTTTTTCCTTAGTAATTCTACCTCTAACTACATGACAGCTATTCTAATATCATTCGGTTCTTTTTGGTTTTACCTAGATTTTTTAATTTTTCTGCAATTCATTCCTTTTTTTTTATTTTTTATTTCAAACAACTCACTTTTCTTATGTTTTTATTCAAAAAATTAGATAAAAACAAATAGAATATCAGTTTTATCATTTATGTGTTTTATAGATTTCAAGAATATTTTAATGGATTTTTTCAACCTCTACTTAAAGCCACCTCTATAACCTCTCTATTTTATGGACCTTAAAAACTTTTTGATCTAGAGTATAAACAGCCTCATTTGATAGATTGACTATTTCTTCAAAGTTAATTTTAATTGAAATTTTTATTGTTGTTTTAGGGTATTGTTTTATCTGTTTATGTTTTTTTTAGTACTTTTTTAATGTATGTTTTATCTATTTGTTGCTCTCTAGCTTTTATTCTCTAATTTTGTACATAATGTCGGTGTGCCTTGCTCTTCTTTAATCACTGCTTGCCATTCGAGATGAAACAATTGCTGCACTGGCAAGTTTTCTTCATAACTTTGTAATGAAGTTGGTGATCTTCCTAAGGCTTAAGTGATAAGTTTCCTGAAAGTAAATGGCGAGGGAAAATAACATTCTACTTTTGATTGAACTTATTGGAATGTGGTTTTGAGTTGTGGGTGTACATGTCTGATGCATGTTGGAGGATTTTGCCATGCGTAACATTGTCATTCTTAAATGTTGGAATTATTTCCTTTCTATTTTAGAACTAAACCTCCTTTTCTATAGCTTTTGTTTGGTGTTGTTAAATTGGGTTACTTGAGAATCGCTTTGGTGACAATGGTTTCATTTTGTTTCTCTGTGACT